CCCTTCCTTCCTACATTGGACACCTACCCTCTGTTACAGGCTGACTTATGTCCCTTCAAAATTCATATATTGAAGTCCTAACCCCAGTACCTCAGAACGTGACTGTATTTGGAGATAGGGCTTATAAAGTGGTGACTAAGATCAAATGAAATCATATGGGTTGGCCTTAATTAATATGACTAGTGTCTTTACAAGAAAAGATTAGGACACAGAGAGCAAGGACTGAAGGATGGCCATGTGAGAACCCAGCAGAAGGTGGCTATCTGCCAGCCAAGGAGAAGGGCCTCAGAAGAAACCAAACTTGCAAATACCTTGATCTTGTACTTTTAACTTCTAGAACTGTGAGAAAATGGTTTTCTGTTGTTTAAGCTGCCCAGCCTGTAGTACCTTATCATGGCAGCCTGAGCAGACTAATATAACTATTAAGAGGGTTGGCGGTGGAGAGTTAGGATATTTTGTTAGAGCCCTAGCAAACTAATATACCCTCTGACCCATGGCTATAGTTTAGGTCTCTAATGAGGTTCTCACGTACCTAACAGACTTCATTTTACATCCTAGAGAGTTACTTAGCTCTGGAACCATGCTTCCTAGATTCTGGGTTTATTTAGCATAAGTAATGCTATGGCCAGGGCTATCTGTTAAATGCATCAAATAGATAATTTTTCTTCCTTCTAGCAAATAGCATTCATCTATTTACGCAAGGTAAATAGATACAAAAGGTACAATTGACAAGGAGAGTCACATGCCTTTTTCTTTAACCCTCAAGTCATCCCTGTAGTAAAGGGAGCAAATAGATCACAGGCCAGCTGCTTTTAACACCTTCCATAACTAAAATCTCCTTTACCCTCCCTTCCTACCCAAAGTTATATTTCTCTGCTCCTGCTCACTCCACTGATAAGACATAAGCACTCCCATGATTTTGATATATGGTCCACAGTCTATCTATTGATGCTGTAGCTATACTATTTATATACTACATTTTTATATATATCATATTTTGTAGTTTTAATTTACATAAATGATGTTACATTGCAGTCACTCTTCTGAACTTGCTTTTGTACTCCATCTTATCGTAACTTGTCTCCCCATTCCTACTCCTCTCTCTTAGATCAATCAGATTATTGGCTTAAATACAACAGAATTCATTGGAAGGATATCAAGTAGCTTGCATAATTGCCTGTTGCTACTGAATTCAGGCCACTGGAGTCCCATCCAAGGTCAAAGCATAAAAGTCTGTTTGGGATATAGATCTACAGTTTCCACTCACCTCTGGCCCTGCCGAGAGATTTACACCAGCCTGATTCTGAGTCAAAAGAATAGAGGTAGTTACTTGAAGGGCCCCCCACAGATGATTCAGATGGGGCCATTAAGTTATAATAATGACTCTGGTGGATTGAAACACATTAAATATATGAAAAATCATATTAATAATAATGCTTTTTAAGAGATCTTATTAATCACCTTTGAAGATTTCTAGGGCACCAACTCATTATTCTAAAAACTGATAAATAAAAGTGAAAAAAAATCAAGCATCTATCTTGTCTTCCATATAAACAGTATTTCAGAATAACCAAATTGCTAGTGAAAGAATGTATTTCTTTAAAATGTCACTATTTTTGCACAGTGAAGGAAACCATCAACAAACCAAAAAGGCAACCTACTGAATGGGAGAAGATGTTTGCAAATGATATATCCAATAAAGGGTTAATATCCAAAATATATGAAGAACTTACACAACTGAACACACACACGCACATACACACACACACACACACACACACACACACACACACACAAAACCCCACCAAATCATCCAACTAAAAATAGGCAGAGGGGGGCACCCGGGTGGCTCAGTGGGTTGAGCATTTGACTCTTGGTTTTGGCTCAGGTCATGATCTCATGGGTCATGGGATCAAGCCCAGTGTCAAGCCTTGCGTTGGGCCCCGTGCTCAGTGTGGAGTCTGCTTGAGACTCTCTGTCTCTGCTTCTCTCCCCACTCATGCTTTCTCTCTCTCTTTCTCAAATAAATAAATAAAATCTTTAAAAGGGGGGGGGCAGAGAACCTGAATAGGCATTTTTCCAAAAAGACATACAGATGGCCACAGACACATGAAAAGATGTTCAAGCAAATCAAAACTACAATGAGGTATCACCTTACCACCTGTCAGAATTGCTAGAATTAAAGAGACAAGAAATAACAAGTGTTGGCAAGTATGTGGAGAAAAAGGAATCCTTGTAACAGTTGGTGGGACCGTATATTGGTGCAACCAGTGGGAAAAATAGTGTGATAGTTCCTCAAAAAATTAAAAATAGAATTACCATATGATCCAATAATTCCACTACTGGGTATTTACCAAAAACAAAAACACTAATTCAAAAAGATATATGCATCCCTATGTTTATTGCAGCATTACTTATGATAACCAAGATATGGAAGCAACCCAAGTGTCCATGTATAGATGAATGCATAAAGAAAACATGCCATACACACACACACACACATATCTATAAAATGGAATATTACTCAGCCCTAAAAGAGGGTGAAATTTTGCCATTTGGGACCACGTGGATGGACCTAGAAGGTATTATACCAAGTGAAGTGATTCAGACAGATAAAGACAAATACCATATGATTTCACTCATATATAGAATTTTTGAAAACAAAACAAATTTTGAAAAAAATGAAGAGACAAATACAGAGAACTGACGGTTGCCAAAGGGGGACAGAAGGGATGAGTGAAATAGGTAAAGGGGATTTTTTTTAAAAAGTTGGTTGCTTAAATGATACCTACCTACTACCTCCTTTTTAGATCCTCAATTTTATGAAAACTTGTAAAATTAATCTTCCAGATATAATTCTGGTCATGGGTAAAATTGTGAAACAATCAATCTTGACTTCCCCCACCTTCCTTACTAATCACTCTTTTTTACACCTGGGACTTACTTGCAAGCCTAAAGTCTTTTCCACCTGCCTGCAACCAAACTGGGTGTTTCTACTAAGAAGAAAACTAGAATTTACATCAGCATAGAAAGACCTCATATATGTGATGAAGCTCCTGTTCCCTTAAGATATTCAGATTACATTAAAGGACCTCCTCCAAACATCAATGTCTTAAATTTGCAGAGGGTTGAAGTTATAACAATGGGATAGCTGAAAAGTGGAGTATTTTGTAGACAAATGACCATGCTCTGTGCCCACATCATCAATGTATGGCTGTTTACATCATCTGCATAAAAATATTTTAACTTTGTGTTAACAAACCATAGGGACTTACAACGTATGACTATTCAACTTTATTAAGAACATTATAAAACAATACATTTAACAAAAGTATGTTTATTTCCATACAACGCTTTTACATTTCTCTCGCCTCAGTTTTATCTAAAACTAAGCCAATATCTTCTTCTAAGGCACTTCATTAATAGTGCATGTTCTTTAGACACGGAATCCCTTTGGGCAACATGCAACATTCAAATGTCTGTTGGCGATACACTTACAAAATATTTATGATGTCTGGAAATAATAAACCTCAACACCCATGACCACACAGCCCCAGGGGCAGTAGGGGACATACACAAAATCACAAAAACATTACCAACCAGTCAAGCACATTTTGGCTAATATCCATTCACAAATAACGTTACTTGTGTTGGTCAGGAAGAATTTAAAAATATTTATAGATCAAAAGAAAGGGTCAAAGACAGAACTGAGCATGGAGCACACCAAGTTAGCTAATAGGGCAGCCCTAATTCTTTCTGCTTCTAGCTAGAGGGGATAATCAATACAATTAAACCCATAGTTTAAAAGCTTTTGTGGAAATTCAAATTGTAACAGAAAATAAACTAAGGGCTAATTGCTTCTAAGGGAATTCATTAAATGACATGTGCCAGACAGGTATCTATCTAGTGCATTTTAAATATGATTTGACATCAAGGTAAACACATATGCCAATGATGCTTTCTTTGCTTAAAATAAATAAAATCTGTGTACTATCTTCTGTACTTGTCCCTTTTTGGAGGGACAGGCAAAAGTAAACGAGCACAGCTTCATTGTAAGTATTGCCTAAATCTGGTAATCAAAAAAGTCGTATCATTTTTTATTTTTAAAAAGGTTAAGAGATTTTATTTTATGTCTTCTAAATTGAATGCCCTTATATTTTGTATCCATTAGTTTGTATGTAACTGAGTTTACAGCTCCTTCAAATATCAGTATGTGTAAAGTTTATTGGGGTAATTTCTAAATTGAGAGAGAGAAGGTCACTGTATCTGTATATATGGATGTAACCTCACTTTAAGCTTGTTCTGCAGGCCAGGGTCAACAAAGATCTGTTGTAATCCAAGAAACACAATGGGAAAAATTCAATATAATAAGTCAGATCTGATAAACCCAGTTTTGGATCATGAGAAAATTCTACATCCAAAAATATAAGCCATTACAAGTCAAGATTTAATTACAGCAGTATTCTTATTTTAAAAAAAAAAAGGAGGAGTCCATTATTTATGGGCATTGTGAATACTTTTCTTATCTAAAAGCTATCTGAAACTACTAAAAATATCTATATTTATTCATAAATATTGACCCACTGGATCAAAGTGTTACTTCCCAGTCTAGGCTTTACAAATGTTTCTGGTAACTTGGTCCTGGCAAGTGCCCTTGTTCCTCCTGAGCCCCATCATAATCACTGCACCCTGGTCTCTGAAATGTTTTAAAGAATGATGACCCCCAAACCTGAGGAATTCCTGAAAGTTGTTATTAAATTAAAAACAGAGCAGCCAAATTCTTTGCAAATGACTTCTTTGATGGAAACAGTTATTTCCAACCTGTATCAAGAAGGGAATTCTTTTTTAGGTGCCTGGGGAAGAGTAAACATGCCAAGTATATTAGTCAAGAGCGCTTGAGAAGACTGTTTTGTGGATTCTTCTTCTGAGCTCCTGAGTAGAACCCTCAACTCTAATGTCCCTCAGATCATAACAATACCAGCTCAGCCATAAGTCTTCCCAAAAGAAGAGCTGGTCTGTTCATATATTTACTTGGTTTCAAAGAGCAGGAAGCCTGCAAAGGTAGAGAAGCGCTGGTGGTCCCCATGAAGAGCACCATTGCCCATTCTCAGCCAAACCTCATCCCCTTTAGCCAGCTTCAGTACTGCATGGTTGCTGGACGTATCTGACTTCCCCTTTGTTTCATAGCTGTAAAGAAAAAAAGGTACCAAATACTTAGTCTTTGCAGTGGACAGTCACCTCTTTACCAAAGTATGTCCCCCCCTTCTCCTCCAGACTCTCATGCACTTAGAGTCCTATGATTAAGTCCTCTAAATAGCATATGAACAAAGACGACATGTACCACTTATAGGGTTGGACAACACAACTCCCCCAAACATCTCTCCTTGCTTCTTCCTCATTATGGCCATGTGGATTGGTAATGACAATGACCAGAATGACCTTGGAAGCCAAGTGTTGTAGCCTGAGTTCTTGAAGACTGTGTTGCCAGAAGCTCTCTCTCACTTGCCCCAACCTGGAACAACCACTCTGGACTGTTCCATGAGAAGAAAAGGGATTTCTTTTTTTTAAAGATTTTATCTATTTGACAGAGGGAGACACAGTGAGAGAGGGAACACAAGCAGGGGGAGTGGGAGAGGGAGAAGCAGGCCTCCCGCTAAGCAAGGAGCCCGATGCGGGGCTCGATCCCAGGACCCTGAGACCATGACCTGAGCCGAAGGCAGACGCTCAACTACTGAGCCACCCAGTCGCCCCGAAAAGGGATTTCTATTATGTTTAAGTCATTGGGTTAATGGTATAGCAATTTAGTCTACCCTAACTTATTTAAAATTTGGTACTGAAGGACGGTTTTGCTATAACCCAAACTAAAATATGTTGCATTGGCTCAGGATCAGGCAGAGAGCACTGAGGAGACAAATATTGTAGGCTTGAAAGCTGGAGACCTATGTTGTGATGGGGCAAAACATTTAGGAAAACATCGGATAACGTGGAAAGCAGACCCTATGTCTACCAAGCCTATACCCTAAGAAAGGAAGTGACTGGGGCGCCTGGGTGGCTCAGTTGTCAAGCATCTGCCTTTGGCTCAGATCATGATCTCAGGGTCCTGGGACCAAGCCCCACATCAGGCTCCCTGCTCTGCGGGAAGCCTGCTTCTCCCTCTCCCACTCCCCCTGCTTGTGTTCCCTCTCTCGCTGTGCCTCTCTCTGTCAAATAACTAAATAAAATCTTAAAAAAAAAAAAAGGAAGGGACTGGAAAAGCCAAAATATTGCTTTTAGTAAGATGTTTCTGCAAAAGACTAGTTCAGACAAAACCTGAGATGTCTGAAGCACAGGAAGCAGAAAGGGAGAGTCTAGAAAGTTGAGGTCTAACAGAGTTGGAAAAGCCAAGTGCTTTTATACGAGAGATAGCAGAGATAAAGTTGGATAAATAGGATGTTGTCCTATTAAGACTTCTCATTCAATCTAATAGACACGGCCTGTGACATAACTTGATGGATTAAAAATATTGCCTTTCTACCTAAATCTATTGTTTAGAAGTCCTTGTGGTAACCACCACTAGTCAAGACAGAAGGGCCTGAAGACAAGGAATCAAGGGAAGGGAAGAACAGGCTGAAAAACTGTCAAGAAAAGAATGTTGGGTGTGGTTTGCTAACACGTATAACTGACTGGTAGCAAATGGAACAAAAGCCTGCTAAGTTTCTTAGAAATGGTCTTACCCAGAAACCCAAACCTGGCTCACAAAGGACTTGGGGTGTTTGACTAAATACTCTTAGACCTCAAATTTGCATGAGCAGGAAGTGGGCTGTGAAAGACCCCAGGGAAAGCCTACTCACTTTTTAGATGGAGACAAACAAACAAGGAAGGTCCTCCCAGAGGACAGAATTAGGAGCCAAAGAGAAAAACAGCTGAGAGGCTGACTTGATAAAAAGGATTGCTCATCCCTAAGCCTTGGGACTTTGAGCTGGATGCATGAACTGCAGTTTAGGCTGGCTTCCGTGGGGGTGGAGATGGGGAGACATATACTCTAAATGTAGAAGAATTCAACAGCTACTTGGTAGCCAGAGGAGCAGAGAAGCCTAGCTGTTCACCAGACTCCATCTCCCTGCTTCCAGAGGAGCAGCTCTACCTTTCCTTGCTGCCCTTGCCTTGGTTGAGGGGAGTTAGGGCTGGGCAACACTGTAACTGTATTCTTTGAATAGAATGTGTGATGCATAAACATTTTCACAAGCCTGTTGCTCTTTTCTCCTTCCGACTATGGCAATGACAATGACCAGGGAGAATTTGCAAGTCAGTTTTACAGGTGACAGAACTGCTTTCACCAGTCTGCATCTCTCAGAACCCAGATAGAGCACCTCCCTTCCAACCTGCCTCCACCCAAACCCTCCTCTGCCCTCTCTGCCTCGCCCTTCCCCATCCTGGAGCTGGTCAAGCAACATAGAGCTCTGCAGTGTTTGAGCTGCCATATTGAGTCTCTCTCTCTCTCTCTCTTAAGAATTTATTTATTTATTTATTTATTTATTTATTTATTTATTTATTTATTTATTTATTTATTTATGAGAGAGCGCAAGCAGTGTGGAGAGGCAGAGGGAGAGGGAGAAACAGACTCCCCACCAAGCAGGAGCCGGACGCAGGGCTCCATTGCAGGACCCTGGGATCATGAGCTCCAACAAAGGCAGCTGCTTAACTGACTGAACCACCCAGGTGCCCCTTGAGTCTTTTTTTTTTGCAGCAATTTCACCTACTTCTCTTTTTCTCTTTTGGTTTTTCAAATACATCCTCCCACTGGAGGCCAGGCACCAGAAGAAATGGCAATCCTCCCAAGTCATCAAAAATGACAGGGATAAGATAGCAACCACAGAGTTTTTCATAGATAACTCACCACCCATTTAGTTATGGGAAAGATGTTGGCTCTCTGCCTCTTTCCCACATCCTAAGTTTATATCAGAACACGTAGTAATATTTCTTTTTAAGATAATTTTTTTAAAGATTTATTTATTTATTTATTTGGGGGGGTGCATGCCTGTGTGCACATTAGAGTGAGTAGGGGGAGGGGCTGAGGGAGAGAATCCTCCAAGCAGACTCCCCGAGAGCAGGGAGCCCCATGCAGGGCTTGATCTCAACACCCATGAGATCATGACCTGAGCTAAAACCAAGAGTTGGTCACTCAACCGACTGAGCCACTCAGGTGCCCTAAAATAATTTTTTACAAGAAACTCTAGGGCCGGGTTGCTAGGATAAATATCAGATCCACAGCACAGCCTAAAGGCCTGGGTCTACTCCCAACTCTCTACCTGTCAGCTGAGGAAGATAGTAGAGAAGACCATCAATAGGGGTAAACTCTGGCCAGAGTAAGAAAATAGAAGAAAAGGCTGAGAAAGAAGGGAAGAAGTTATGAGTTAAGAAAAGAATACAAATGGGGGTGCCTGGTTCAGTCAGTTAAGCATCTGCCTTCGGCTCAGGTCATGATCTCGGGGTCCTGGGATCAAGCCCCGCGTTGGGCTCTCTGCTCGGTGGGGAGCCTGCCTCTCCCTCTCCCTTGCCTGCCACTCCCCCTGCATGTTCTCTCTCTCTCTCTGTCAAATAAATAAATAAAATCTTAAAAAAAAAAAAAGACTCCCTGTCCCCCGACCCCGCTCTCACAAGCACATATGTGTTCTCCCTCTCTCAAATAAATAATAAAATCATTTAAAGAAAAGAATACAAATGATTAGTTATGAGGAGTGTTGCTAGTAATTAGCTCAAGGCCTCTTATCCACCTGCTTATTCTCAAGTTCATCAGATTTATTTCCTCCCAAACAGTAATTATAATTTGGCCATATATTGGTATATGGGAGATCTCAGTGATGCCAAGTCAGGTTCTCTTGATTCTTACACACTCCCTGGCATCTGCCATCCTTTGAGCAAGCCATGGCGGCATGGTTGATCCCTGTGATAGAGAAGACCACCCACCTGTACATGCTGAACACTGTATTACCATTGTGCATGAGGTACACATACACTTCTTCAACATCCTCGTGCTTCATCATGCTGAAGGTGAAGAAATACACACCTGAAAAAGGCAGGTATATACCCACATTTGTATTAATATATTGTACATCGAGGACCAGGAGATATACGGTATGACTTCCCTTTTTTTGTTTATATTCTATTTGGTATGTAGGCTCTTCTTCGCCTTTATTTGTATGAGTGTTCTTTCATCTGCTCTTACCTTCAAACTACTTTAAAGTTTTTTGAGACTTTCTCAGTGTGTGTACTATGTAACACTGATAAGTGCTTACGGTGAGGCACATGCCATTCCTAGGTATCAATTAACTATCATTAGATTAGCACCTACCACAAGACTCTTATTGACAAGGTACGGAGCCCCTCGTGGATGAACACACAGCCTCCACGGCCTAACAAAATGAACCATGTGCAGCATTACAATGGATGAGTACCCTCAGCACAGAGATGTTACCCAGAGATAAGAAGTATTTTAGCAGATAAGTGTTTATCAGTTCTGAAGAAATAGTGTTAGTAATTTATCATGTTACTCATTGTAAGTAGATGAACTTACGTACAATAGAGACTCAACTATGACTCAGCAGCATGACCTTGCTACTAAAAATAGGGATCCTTCTCATTTGTAAAGGATCAACATATTTTAAAAGATGTGAGTTTTCTTATACGTCTCTAGGCCACCTAACAGAAAGGAACTTAATATGACCCAATACGGTCTAAAAGATTAAAACGAATCAAAAAGCAGAGAGAGGAGCAAAAAGGAAAATCTTCCTCATGCCAAATGATGTGATATTTGAGAGTGCATTTTGGAAAGATGAATGAATATACATCATCAAACTTTTATGGATTTCCATGCTACATTTTTAAACTTGTGACCTTGTCTTAGTCCATTTGAGCTGCTATAACAAAATGCCACCGAATTAGTAGCTTAGAAACAACGGCAATTTATTTCTCGCAGTTCTAGAGGCTGGAAGTCTGAGACCAGGGTGCCAGCATGGTCAGGGGAGAGTCTTCCTGCAGGTCACAGACTTCTGATTGTATCCTCACATGGCAGAAGGGATTAGGGGACTCTGTGGGGCCTCTTTCATGAGGGCACCAATCTCATTCACGAGAATTCTGCCATCATGAGGTAATCATGATAGGCCTTTGGACCCTACCTCCTAATACCATTAACTTGGGCCTTAGGTTTTCAATGTATGAATTTTGGAGGGACACATTCAGACCATAGCAGCAGGCCTTGTAAGAGAAAAAGCCAGAAATGTCTTTAAAAAAAAAAAAATAGCATGGCACAGTTCTATGCTTTTTTTCAAAGGTGCAATCAAGTAAGATAGAAGCTGTAAGGGTTCCATGTTGACCACCTGCTTCTGAGTCAAGTTGAACCAAGTGAAGAAGTGTGATTATGCTTCACTTAGTGCCAGGCTTGCATATTCAATATGCTGGGAATGAAGGAACCGGTATAAAAATCAGTCATATCCATTCATATGCCTAGAGATTGGTTCACAGGTGAAAAGTAAAGGCAGATTAAAATTAGAGGACTTGAAGAAAGTAATTTATGGTGCTTAGGTTTTTACATTTTACAAAATGTATTAGACACACACACACAATACACGCATGTGACAATTTTCAATGCCTCAAGAAGATAAAGCTGGATTCAAAAGGGCAGGGAAAAGTATTGGTTTTCCTGAAACAATGATGGCTGCTATACAAAATAGATTGCAGAAGCATGTTAGAAAGAGCAGACTAAGACACCAGATGGGGAATAAATGAAATGCCTAGAAGTGGAAATATAAAAGTGAATATATATCATATCCACCTATGGCTTTCTTCTGCAAGGGAAGATACTGAAAGCAGAGGCAACACACTTGTGCTATGGTTTTCAGGTCTTTGTGTTACTGTAATTGCAAAAATCAGCCTTCTCTGTCTCATCGCTCCCAAAGTCGAAAAGTAGAAAATGCTCAATTTGTCATCTATTGAATGAGGTTTAAAGTGGGAGGCAAATGATGGTTGTTACCAAATGATGACCCAAGGGAGTTCCAAAAAACTACTAAATTTTTGAACTTCCATTATAAAGCCCTTGAAAGCAAAGGAACCATCAGGCATCTCTAGGTGCTTATGTAAACTGCAGGCCAGATAATGTGTAACAAAATAGTTACAAGAAAACTGTAAGCCTTCAGAGCAGAAAATCACATAAGAAGGTTTAAAACTGGTTGTGAAGTGTGATGAAAGATTGCTTCTATCACTTCATATATCTGTTTATTTCTGAGTTTAGCTGCGTGGAAAACTAAATCAAGGCGTTAAAAGCACTTGTGCCAAATTTGACATGGCGACTGCATCCATCATAATTTTCCTCTATTCCTTCTAGATCCCACACAGGGAAATAAGGAGCATTGAAAACAAACACCAGAAAGCATCCATTTTTCATAAAACTAGGAGTCTGAAAAAAGTCAATAAACTTAAAATACTTGTAAGTTTGTCAAATGCAACAAAAAGCAGGCAGAGTCGCACGGAGGCAGCATGGGAGCTGGGCAAGGAGTTTTGAGGAGGCCAAGCCGAGGCAGATCTCACAGTACCGGAAAAAAGGCACTCCCTGATGGAGAAGGGCCACCCATGCGGCAAAGCAGCTCTTACGAGCAGGGCTGAGATGAAGCCTAAGTGATGTTTTGGGGGAAGGTTGCTAGATAAAGTACAAAAAGTGAGGTGAGTGGTCCTGAAGTGGCAGATTTCTGAAACTACCAGCAAAAACAGGACTCCTAAGGGCAAGAGAACTACACGTGCAAGGCTGGGTCTCAGAACTCTTCCCAGACCCAGTGCAGTCTGGGGAGGGAGGCAGAGGAAGTGTGGCCACACAGAGAAAACACACAGAAGGGCCACACTTCAAAGACCAGACTGAGTCCCCTGCTAGCAGGAGAGGGAACCATGGAGCCAGAAGTATGCTGAAGTCCCTCCCCCTTCCGCAGAAACTACTGCCCCTGGCCGGTCTAGGGAAATCCAACTCATTCAACCACCAGTTAATTTCAGAAAGTAGAAAAGAAGGGCAGAAACTACCAATAGAGGAAGAATACTCACTGAGAAGAAATGTTGTCAGGTAGTAGATGAAAACTGTAACCAAATATTCCATCCTGAGTTTAAAATATGTTAATGAAGCAAACCCCTCCATGAAAGAACATTATTAACTCACGGCAGGTATGTCCAGACAAGGGGCGCCTGGGTGGCTCAGTCGTTAAGTGTCTGCCTTTGGCTCAGGTCATGATCCCAGGGTCCTGGGATCGAGTCCCGCATCGGGCTCCCTGCTCGGCGGGGAGCCTGCTTCTCCCTCTCCCACTCTCCCTGCTTGTGTTCCCTCTCTCACTGTCTCTCTCTCTCTCTGTGTCAAATAAATAAATAAAATCTTTAAAAAAGAAAAAGAAAGAAAGAAATGTCCAAACAAGAGGAGGAACTAAAAATTGGTCCCATTAGACATAGAAAGAGGAAAGAAAACATCACAGAAATAAGACAGAAGAAATTGGAAGAAGCAAAAAGGAAAAGTCATCCTTAGCATATGTAATTAAGAACATGCAGAAAAGTGACAGAGAAAGCAAACAACATGAAATGGAAATTTAAAAAAAACAGCAACAGATTCGAGAAAATAGTAGATACAGCGAAGAAAAGTTAAACACAAAACCAACAAAACATAATTGGAGCCCTTCACGAGTTAACCAGTGGTGTCCTAAGGTGTGTATATGGGGGGTGGATGCTTGTGAGTGGTCAACCCTAAAGGAGAGGAGTATTTTATCATTGACATGGTTTAGAATTGCTGCACTAGGATGACGATAAAAATCTAGTGATCTTTTCATTGGTCCTATTATAGTTCAAAAATATCCCATAGACAATGTGCCCACTTATTGCCTGATTGCCTAACACAAGTCAGACTGTTCCCAATGCCACCCCACCTTAGTGCAGGAATGAGAAGGAAAAACAGTGTTTAAATTTATATTTAAAAATATAATTCAAAGAAACTTTTCAGGGCAAAAAGAAGGCTTACATCCACACATTCAAAGGACAGCAGGAAAGGTCCACCCAGAACGATCAGCTTGTGGTGGCTGAAAGTAAGGAAGTTGTAGGCGCTGAATGACGACTCCCAAATCGGCCCAATTCCTAAAATCTCCAGGAGCTGCAAATGGTACCTTATATGGCAAAAGGGACTTTGCAGTTCTGATTAAATTTAGGATCTTTAGATGGGGAGATTATCCCAGATTACCCAGGGGGGCCCAAGGTGATCACACTGCCCTTGAGAGCCAAGGAGGTCAGAATCTGCCAGGAGGTGACATGACCATTGAAGTAGAGACTGACATGATATGGCTGATGGAGAGGGGATGTTGACAGCTTCAGAGTCGCAGGAGGCAAGGCCCTCCAGCTTCCAGATGAACCAGCATTGTCTATACCTTGACTTCAGCCCAGTCAGACTGATTTTTGACTTCTGACCTCCAGAGTTACAAGAGAATAATTGTGTGTCATTTTAAGCCCCTTAGTTTGTGGGAATTTATTAGAGCAGCGATAGGAAATGAATACAGAAGTGCTCGAGAAATTTTAAAAATTCAAATAAAAAAACCATTCAAAGGATCAGGTCCTCCTTGGGGTGGTGGCAAGAGGAGGACACTGTTACTACACATTTAAACTGTGAGAATTAGGATCTAAAGAGTTTTAAAGTCAGAGGTAACTATGTCCTCTGAGGGATTATTTGCTTCAGTTCAAATCAGAGTTAAAAATCTTAGTAACCGGGCGCCTGGGTGGCTCAGTCGTTAAGCGTCTGCCTTCGGCTCAGGTCATGATCCCAGGGTCCTGGGGTCGAGCCCCACATCGGGCTCCCTGCTCGCGGGAAGCCTGCTTCTCCCTCTCCCACTCTCCCTGCTTGTGTTTCCTCTCTCTGTCAAATAAATAAATAAAATCTTTAAAAAATAAAAATTAAAAAAATAAAAATCTTAGTAACCATAGAAGTGTATTCATCTTGGGCGCCTGGGTGGCTCAGTCAGTTAAGCGTCTGCCTGCTACTCAGGTTATAATCCCAGGGTCCTGGCTCAGCAGGGAGTCTGCTTCTCCCTCTCCTCCCGCCTCACGCTCTCGCTCTCTCTCTCACAAATAAAAAAATAAGATCTTCAAAAAAAAAAGTGTATGCATCTTTTTGAATTCTAATAAATTTACTTTGAAATCCAACAGAAATCTATATATGAGCTGATTGTTTTAACCAGAATCAGAAAGAATTCTCAACCCTCTTCGTGTCTTCCTTTCTGTTTCCTTTTCCTTCATTTTCCTTCCTCCCTTCCTCCCTCACCTCTTTCCTACCTTCTTTCTGTCCTTCCTTCTAGATGGCTAGTTGAATAATTCAGTCATTCATTTATTTTTACATCTCACCTGATACTGGGGCCCCGAATCTACCAGTCATGACATCAAAGAAGTTTCCGATGTTTGTCTCCACACTGCTGAAGATAATCCCGCTGTTCTGATTGCTGAAGTGGGTTGCCAGAGAAGCCATGAATGCAATCTAAGGAAAGTTCGTTAATAGGAAATTTACCTTAAAGAAATGAGGTTTTTATAAAAGTAAGTTTAGTTCAATATTATTTGTAACAACTAGATCAGAAATGAACAGAAAAAAATTAATCATGGTAATTTCTAACATTTTATGCTATGAAGCCATTAAAATGATAGTATATATCAGAAGTTCTCACCTTGTGTTTCAAAATGTTTTTTGAAATATTAAAATTCTATTACTGGGAAAATGTGGATGAAATCTACTTATAGCTATTAAATGCTATTAAATGCACATTAGCATATTAAAGGATCTGAGAAGGCCTGCAGCCAAATAACCTTTTAATTTTGTTCACTCTGTTACTTTTTTTCTCCAAAAGAACTGTGATACTATGATTTATAATAAATATACATTTAGTCTTTGTCCCAGTTTTTGGCACAGAGTTCCCAAAACCATTGGAATACCTTAAGTGGTTAGGGAGATCAAGGGGTCTTTTGTTATGTTAATGAGGCGACTTTTGGAAAGCACCTAGGCAACCTAAAGATGGGAGCTCGTTGCCATTGGAGCCAATCCTGGGATTAGAGGGTTGAAACTTTCAGTCCCACCCCACTTCAGGAAGGGCAGAGGGGTGGGAGGTTGAATGGCCTGTGATTTAATCAATCACACCTATACAATGAAGCCTCCATAAAAACTTAAAAGGAAGGGGTTCAGAGAGTTCTAGGTTGGTGAACATGGGAAGTGCAGGAGAGTTGTAGTCGGTCTCTGAGAGGGCAGAGAAGCTCTGCACTCCTTTCCCTAAACCTTGCCCTATGCATCTCTTCCATCTGGCTGTTCCTGAATTATATACCCTTTTACAAGAAACCAGTGATTGAGTAAGCAACATATTTCTCTGAGTTCATGCTAGCAAATTACTTGAACCCCAGAAGGGTTCATAGCCTCCCCTTCATAGCCGGAATGTCAGAAGCACAGATGACAATCCAGACTTAGAGTGGAGTCTGAAGTTGGGGGCGGCAGTCTTGTAGGGCTGAGCTTTTAAGCTTGGAATCTGATGCATTCTCCAGGTAAGTAGTGTCAGAATTGAGTTGAATTGTAAGGATACCTAGCTTGGGGGTGTGGGAAAACCCCCCACACTGGAATTGTACCGCTATTAGACAGTCACATTTGAAAATCAATGGCAATCCCCCGTCCACATGCGTCATTGTAACTGAGTGTGAGTTAGCTCAATAAATTCTTTAGCTTCCTGGGATTACCAGTCTTCAATGAATGGGAGTTTTAAGGGAGGGGTTGAGAGAAGAGAGAGGGAATAATTTGAAGTTTGGAAGACTCGGGGGAAAGCAGGCTTAGGAGAATCAACATGGAAAGGATTTGGACAGTCAGAAAGACAGCATGAGGGCTGTGGACTCAGAAGGAAGGGGAAGGAAAGGGATGACCCCGGAGGAGGGATTTTGGAAATGGGAATGAAGGGTCCTGGAAGTCACCCTTCTTTACAGGCTGCCTGAAGCCAATCATTCCTCCTCTGTAATGCCTCCTTTAAAACAGGTGAATGTAGGGGGTGCTTGGGTGGCTCAGTGAAGCATCTGCCTTCAGCTCAGGTCATGGTCCCAGGATCCTGGGATGGAGCCCTGCAACAGGCTCGCTGCTCAGTGGGGAGTCTACTTCTCCCTCTCTCAGCTCATGCTCTCTCTCTCTCTCTCTCAAATAAATAAAATCTTAAAAATAAATAAAATGTGTGAGTGTAGTTCTCCCAAATTATTACATTGTGGTTTTAGGGTAAAATAATTGATGAAGCATTTTAATAATTGCCCAGGGTGCGCTCCATCAGACTGGCTACTCCAGGGCCCCCTGGCCCTTGTATAACCATCACAGGTTTAGAGTTAAAGTTTCTAGATTTGAGGATGTCAAGCATCCCTCTCATTAGACACCTTTAACCTGGCCAAGCGGCATCTGTCTTCTTTTCTTTGTAAATTTTTGCCGGCCCATTAATCCCAGGTTGCTAAGATTATTAAACAGCATTCCTTTACGAGTGACAAAACCTCAAAAACAGTTCGAGAAACACAAAAGACCTCTCAGGTTATAACTTAGAAAACTCGAGGCCCAGAAAAATGATGGAATGTATCCGAGGTCAAACAACCACCAGATATGCCCAAATAAAAGGCAAAGTTTTCCCCCAATTGATCTTTCAGAAAGAGTCTCTGTATTCTGATTCTTTTTTTTTAAACAAAGTTTTTATTATTTTTTATTATTTTATTTTTAGATTTATTTATTTGAGAGAGCGAGAATAAGAGAGAGAGAGTACATGAGGGGGGGAGGGTCAGAGGGAGAAGCAGGCTCCTCGCCGAGCAGGGAGCCCGATGCGGGACTCGATCCTGGGACTCCGGGATCATGACCTGAGCTGAAGGCAGTCGCTTAACCAACTGAGCCACCCAGGCAGGCTCCCTGTATTCTGATTCTTTAAAAGTCTCTCAGGTTATGGTATATTCTCTCAATTACACACAGCCCCCAGCTGTGTGAAATAATATTTCAACTTTAGATGCTGCCGTAGCAATCTGCTTTCAGTAGAAACCATACTTCAGATTTTGAATTTGGATCTTTTCCGGGGCTATCAATAGGCAATAGATCCTCTCTTGTGATGCTGGGCAGGGGCAGTGGGCCACAGCCCCCAGTCAGCCACACGGTCAAGAGCGTCAGCAACCAATGATACACTTAACAGCCATTATAATTAATAATAAATGCTTGCTTTCAATGTCGAGAGAAATCCCTTGGAAAAATCTATTTTAAAAACATCAGCCAGGAAATAAATAACCAAGACTTAGTAATTTTCTTGGTGACCTAACACATTTGCAAGTGTTAGATGTTATTGGCAACAAAAATTTTGAACATCACTTAAAAGAGAAATAAATAGACAAATGAGCACGTAAGCTTAGGATAAAATATTCAATTATAGCTTCATAAATAGATTCAAAACACATTAAGCTGAAATAAATATAATTTAGTCTAATCTAAACTAGGATGGATGACTAAAAAATAAAATGTCTCTAGCGATAAAGAAGATGCTGATGAGAAAAGTTTATTTCTTTTTTTAAAGTTTTTTTTGGCGGGGGGGCACCTGGGTGGCTCAGTTGGTTAAGCAGCTGCCTTTGGCTCAGGTCATGATCCTGGAGTCCCAGGATCGAGTCCCAT